TGGGGAGGGAGAGCAGTGGGGAGGATGGAGCAGTGGGGAGGGGGAGCAGTGGGGAGGGGGAGCAGTGGGGAGGATGGAGCAGTGGGGAGGGGGAGCAGTGGGGAGGATGGAGCAGTGGGGAGGATGGAGCAGTGGGGAGGGGGAGCAGTGGGGAGGGAGAGCAGTGGGGAGGGAGAGCAGTGGGGAGGATGGAGCAGTGGGGAGGGAGAGCAGTGGGGAGGATGGAGCAGTGGGGAGGATGGAGCAGTGGGGAGGGGGAGCAGTGGGGAGGGAGAGCAGTGGGGAGGATGGAGCAGTGGGGAGGATGGAGCAGTGGGGAGGGAGAGCAGTGGGGAGGATGGAGCAGTGGGGAGGGGGAGCAGTGGGGAGGGAGAGCAGTGGGGAGGATGGAGCAGTGGGGAGGATGGAGCAGTGGGGAGGATGGAGCAGTGGGGAGGGGGAGCAGTGGGGAGGGAGAGCAGTGGGGAGGATGGAGCAGTGGGGAGGATGGAGCAGTGGGGAGGATGGAGCAGTGGGGAGGGGGAGCAGTGGGGAGGATGGAGCAGTGGGGAGGGAGAGCAGTGGGGAGGATGGAGCAGTGGGGAGGGGGAGCAGTGGGGAGGATGGAGCAGTGGGGAGGATGGAGCAGTGGGGAGGATGGAGCAGTGGGGAGGGGGAGCAGTGGGGAGGGAGAGCAGTGGGGAGGGGGAGCAGTGGGGAGGGAGAGCAGTGGGGAGGGAGAGCAGTGGGGAGGATGGAGCAGTGGGGAGGGAGAGCAGTGGGGAGGATGGAGCAGTGGGGAGGGAGAGCAGTGGGGAGGGGAGCAGTGGGGAGGGGGGAGTAGTGGGGAGGATGGAGCAGTGGGGAGGGAGAGCAGTGGGGAGGGGAGCAGTGGGGAGGGGAGCAGTGGGAGGGAGAGCAGTGGGGAGGGAGAGCAGTGGGGAGGATGGAGCAGTGGGGAGGAGGAGCAGTGGGGGAGGGGGAGCAGTGGGGAGGGGGAGCAGTGGGGAGGATGGAGCAGTGGGGAGGGGGAGCAGTGGGGAGGGAGAGCAGTAGGGAGGGAGAGCAGTGGGGAGGATGGAGCAGTGGGGAGGGGAGCAGTGGGGAGGGGAGAGCAGTGGGGAGGGAGAGCAGTGGGGAGGGGAGCAGTGGGGAGGGGGAGCAGTGGGGAGGATGGAGCAGTGGGGAGGGAGAGCAGTGGGGAGGGAGAGCAGTGGGGAGGGGAGCAGTGGGGAGGATGGAGCAGTGGGGAGGGGGAGCAGTGGGGAGGGAGAGCAGTGGGGAGGGAGAGCAGTGGGGAGGGAGAGCAGTGGGGAGGGGGAGCAGTGGGGAGGGGGAGCAGTGGGGAGGATGGAGCAGTGGGGAGGGGGAGCAGTGGGGAGGAGGAGCAGTGGGGAGGGGAGCAGTGGGAGGGGGAGCAGTGGGGAGGGAGCAGTGGGAGGAGAGCAGTGGGGAGGATGGAGCAGTGGGGAGGATGGAGCAGTGGGGAGGGGGAGCAGTGGGGAGGGGGAGCAGTGGGGAGGGAGAGCAGTGGGGAGGGAGAGCAGTGGGGAGGATGGAGCAGTGGGGAGGGGGAGCAGTGGGGAGGATGGAGCAGTGGGGAGGATGGAGCAGTGGGGAGGGGGAGCAGTGGGGAGGGAGAGCAGTGGGGAGGATGGAGCAGTGGGGAGGGGGAGCAGTGGGGAGGATGGAGCAGTGGGGAGGATGGAGCAGTGGGGAGGGGGAGCAGTGGGGAGGGAGAGCAGTGGGGAGGGGGAGCAGTGGGGAGGTGGGAGCAGTGGGGAGGGAGAGCAGTGGGGAGGGAGAGCAGTGGGGAGGATGGAGCAGTGGGGAGGGAGAGCAGTGGGGAGGGAGAGCAGTGGGGAGGGGGGAGTAGTGGGGAGGATGGAGCAGTGGGGAGGGAGAGCAGTGGGGAGGGAGAGCAGTGGGGAGGGGAGCAGTGGGGAGGGGGGAGTAGTGGGGAGGATGGAGCAGTGGGGAGGGAGAGCAGTGGGGAGGGAGAGCAGTGGGGAGGGAGAGCAGTGGGGAGGGGGAGCAGTGGGGAGGGGGGAGTAGTGGGGAGGATGGAGCAGTGGGGAGAGAGAGCAGTGGGGGAGGGGGAGCAGTGGGGAGGGGGGAGTAGTGGGGAGGGAGAGCAGTGGGGAGGGAGAGCAGTGGGGAGGGAGAGCAGTGGGGAGGGAGAGCAGTGGGGAGGGGGGGAGTAGTGGGGAGGATGGAGCAGTGGGGAGGGAGAGCAGTGGGGGGAGGGGGAGCAGTGGGGAGGGAGAGCAGTGGGGGGAGGGGGAGCAGTGGGAGGACTTTATCGGTGCTGCTGCTGTTGCCTTAGCCTTGGTGCAAAGGTTTCATTTCTCATAGTGATCCTCGTGATCCCCCCCCCCCCCCCCCCCGCCGTGTCTGCGGGTCAGGGAACCGCGTCCAGGAGAGAGCGCGTGACGTCATCGCCGCTTACACAGACCGCGCTCTGGATTCACCTGTTTGTCCTCAGGAACACACTCATACAGCTATGGTATACGTATACATATACATTTGCACACAACTTATACACATATGGAACGAGGTATACTTATACATACATATACAAGTGCATGGGTGCTCACACAAACACACACACACAATTACTGACTATTATAGAATGACATGGACAGAAAATATATGATAACACCAGAAATATCATTTATGGTATCAGCTTCGGAAATTTTGATAATGATGCTCAAAATAAGAATATTATAGATGTAATATAATTTTTTGATCAACAATATTACTTGTAGTTAAATAAAATGCTGATAATGAAAATAATTGCAGTTATATTATTATAATAACTATGATAATGACAGTAATAATGGAGATAATAATTTTGGTAATGACTATAATGATTATTATCAACATTATCAGTATCATAAGACATCATTATCGCCGTTACTATTATTGGTATTATTATCACCATTATCGTTATCATTATTACTATCAATATTATTACCATTACCCTCGTTATCTTCATTATCTAATTTCGTTATTATAATCAACACTTTCATAATCACCATTGCATTTTTATTAGCATTATTACCATTGCATTACCTAACCATTAAGAAAAGCATCATACACTACGACAGGAACATGATGCATTTTGAAGTCAGGATGAGGCTGCAGGAGTAGCACTAGATACGCCCGGGATTTTAATGAAGTCACGGCGGTGGAGTGGCTTGCTACGGCGTGTGTGGAGGCAGTGACAAGAAGTGATGACGGCGATTCGCTCCGTGGGAGTTACGTCAAGTAGAGGCTCTATTCTGGTGCCGAACAGCGCTCAACACCGAGTACTGGGAGTCACAGGGCCTGCCTAGTGACAGGGGAAGCGGAAATGACACGGGGAGCGAAATCTTCCTCCGCTGTTGTGCTTTCGAGACAAGAGAGATCTCGTCCCGTGAACTCGAGCTCGTGAGACAGCTAAAGGGCGGGAAGCGTATCTGGCTAATCGACAGCATCGGAGTGCTACACATAAGATGCGTCAGGGAGTTTCCAGATGATAACGCTTCACCGATCATATCGGACGTTAACTACCAGAGTGCTAATGGCAGTTCTCGAAGTTTGTGGGAGGGTGAAGGGTGCGGCGAGGATAGGGGCCCACACCTGCTCGACCTCTGCTCGGAACATGACACTTCGCGGCGTTGCCCTCCTGCGTTCTTTACTTGTGGCGACTGCCTTCTAACTCCTTTCTTCCTGCCTTCTCGCTCCCTTCCTTCCTTCCTTCCCCCCCCCCCCCCCAAGCGGCCTTCTTCCCCTCTGATATACTGATGGAAAACCACTTTTAGAAGTATTTGACAAATACAGCTGAGCTATATTTAAGTGGAATGGAGCCCTGAAACACGCAAGTTCGCCTGTCCAAATACGTATATAAAATACCTGAGACGGAGTTAAAGCTTCAAAGAAATGAATATCGTCTGGAGAGTCAGGGGCGGGAGACTAAGCCATATATGGATGTGAAATACTCCCAGCTCCCACCAATGACGTCAACGACATAGAGGGAGCGCTACCCGCGTCTCACTTGTTTTCGATCTACACGGATGGGTTTTAATCTTTTGTCTTTAGTGCAACACTAACATCCAATCATATGTTCTGACTATTAAACTGCCGTCAGTAGATCTTTTTTTTTATTTTTTTTTGTCAAAACAATTTGAACACTTTCCAGCACTTACAACAGATCATCAGCAATATTTATCAAGGTAATGCCAGTAGTGGTGAAGTCAACTAAATTCAACACAAAATGTCAGCGTCTATTGTTAGATAAGATTCCTGTTGTGGTGGACATGGGACCTAATACTAGCCCACGGGGGCAATGTACTGTACAATCCAAGTTTCGGATTTTAGTGATAATTGTGTTCATTGTGGGGGCAAATTTTCTGTAATACGTCAGTGTTAGTATGTGTTTTTCCTTTGCAAACTTCCCCCTTCACTTTAAAAAAGTCTCAAGAAAATCTTGCCAGTCGTTAACAGGA